ATGAAACAGACTGCTAATAAGATTTTTGGGAAGTTAATTCTTTTAAGTTTGGCAAGCAATGCACATCCAACTATTGTGCTTTAGCAAAATGTAGTTCAAGGAAAATTTCATACTCACAGTAGATTTTTTCAGGTAGAACCTTTATACTGTGTTTCTTTTTATTATTATGATGTACAGCATGCTCCTGTGACATCTGCATGCAGCTTAAACCACAAATAAGGGTAAATTCAAAGGTTTTGTTGCGTTGCCCAGCATCACATCTAAATCCCACAGTGTTCTCTCAGCTCATAGTTGAGGTTATGGAATTTAAAGCAGCGCAGAGCTTAGTTTCCAAATCTACTGCACTATGGGCTGCAGGCCAAGAACAATATTTGGCTGTTTAAAGAACTACTGTTCTGTTCCACGTACTCAAAAATGGCTCCTATGAAGCACTACTCCACTGATACAGTGGAGGACGGTTCAAGATAGGAAATTAAAAGGCAGTGGAGGCCATTAAGTGGCCCAAAGGAGGGGTGAAAGTGCAGTAGACAGCTGAACGTGATGGTACAGAGCAGTAGAAGCAGTAGAAGAAAGTGTAACACATTCAGGATGGTGGAGGACGTGTTGGGGTGTTTAGTCACATGGGTTCCGGATCCCAAAAAAAAAAAAAGAAAAAAGAAGATTTAGCAGAACTGAAAATGAATAAATCCGTACGCCATGTAGCGCCTGTATTACCATTTTTATTCATTTTGTGAGTGCAAGGCTGTTTCTCATTTGCTATTCTCAGACTGGGTCATCTGAGGTTTAAATTTAGAGGCCTGCAGTGGTAAAAACTCTTCTGCCTCTTTAATCTCTTCTTAACACACAGGAGAGAAAATAAAAGACTGAAGAAAAAGAGCGTAGATGAAAGAAATGTCTTCCTTTTCTTTTCACAATCATTTCACAATCATTCTGATTCACCTTGCAACACCTCGAGCTGCACAAGGGCTAGAAACCGATGTAGCAAAAGGTAAGAAAAGGAGTGCTAGAGGTGCAGGAGATGCGACATGGAAAAGTGCAGGAAAAGCACAGCAGTTCAGTATGGATGATGCAAAAGAAAGCATGCATCTGTAGACAGAAGTAAAATATGGAAAATAAAGTAAAAGTTCATTAAGAAAATCCTTGCTGAAGAAGGAAGAAAATGTCTTTAGAAGACAATGAAAGACAGTGGAAATGCTCCAAAACACACTACAATTTGATCAAGGACTGTAAAGCTCAGTGTGGATAAGGATGCACAATAAATATCTTCACGTGAAGACAAAAGTGGCCATCTGGGGGTTTGAGTGTGGCACCCTTTTTATCTGTGAGAGCTGTAATTACAACTGTTTCTTCTGAGTGCATGTGTAGGATTGTCTGAACAATTATTACAGTCACCAGAAAGGGAAAAAAAACACTTTAAGGTGCTAAACACTCTGAAGTTACAGGAAGGAAGTGTGACCTCATCAACACAATTAGCACACACAAACACACACACACAATGGCCAACTCTGCTCTGCTTTGAGATTAAACATGAAGACTTGAGCTTCAGCAAGCTTGATGGATGTGATTTGTGAAATAAATAATTTAATAAAAGGGGAGTGGGTCCGTGTTTTTGGCAGCCAGGTAGTGCTGCGGTGTTATCTGCACTTAGGCTGTGTAATCTGATCAGTGATTGGCTGTGGAGGCTCTTCGTGACTCTGAATGGGATGGAATGAATTGATAGATGGGGGGATATATAGAAGGATGGTCAAATACTGAGAAAACTATAAGTGGACTTGAATCAGTCTCATGTGTATGATCACAAACATGTGATGAACCACCTATAAACATAAGAGTAACATGCTTTTACCTTCAGTTTTATACATATTGGCATCCAACATGAAACTAATATGGTTTCTTTTTTTCACTAGTGAGTGATCGTTTGTGCTTTCTCTAACGACATCCAAAATTTCCATGTATTTGCCTACAGACAGCCAAGGTCATTGCATGAACATTGGCACCTCCTGGTGGAGAAATTACAAATCGTGACGTTTTTATATTGCTGCAGAAATCTTCTTGTTTAAATGTAATGTCATCCATAGGTTGGTTTTAGACTTTAATAAAGCAATTTGCCTGTTTTTATTTTCACCGTACATCATTATAGAAAACCGAAACAGGACCTTTGTCTCATTTTGAGTTTTTATTTGGCAAAAAAAAAAAAAAAAGAAGAAGAGAAAAACAGAAATCTGACATATTATTTTTTTAAATTTCTGTAGATTTCATGAGCCCTGTGATGTGGTGAAAATCTGATGTTGTGATAATTTATTGGCTTGGATTTGATGTCCTTTTCTGTGTTCCTCCTTTACATTAATACATATTTTATTATATTTATTATTATTATTTTTAATAAGAAAGCACATCAACATAACCTTAACCTAATATAATGTACCCTTAATTAAATTAATCTAATTTGGGTGACATTATATTTGGGAGAAGTTTTGTTTTTGTTTTTGTTTCTTTGGTTTGTTTGGGGTTTTTTTGGGGGGGGGGGGGTTGTTAAATAAATGTGATGGCGTTGTGTTTGGTCGACTGTATGCATGAAACAAACTGCATTTCATATTTTAAGACTCATGATCCAAGCCAGACACGTTTTTGCGTTTCATCGCATGCCGAATATGTCTGACAGAAAAACATTGATGTTTTTGCTTTCTAAAGTATTACATCCACGTTTCAGATTTGAGTTGTCACAGTGTTATGCTGTGCTAAAGTAAAATAAAAAAAAATGTTTTAATAAAAATTGCATTCTTCATGTTTTTTAAGAGGCTCTAAAACAGACATACAAACAATCATTCACACTCACGCTTAACAAGTTAAGCTACTGTAACATGCATGTCTTTGAACTGTGGGAAGAGCAGGTGTTCTGGGAATCCATCCTACCTGACAAACCATCCTACCCTTTGTGAACATTAGCTAGAAAAATACTCTGACAGGTAAAATTAAGGGCCAAACAATCCTACCTTTGTGAATGTAAGCATAATTTAACGGGTAAAATGAAGTGGCAAACCATCCTGGCTTTAAGCTACAAGCATACTCTGATGGGCAACGTTAAGTGGCAAACCATCATACCTACTTTAATTTGTGCTGGAATTACTCTGTGACAGCAGAAATATGCAGAAACTACCTACAGTAGGACGTTTTGCCAAAGTAGGATGGTTTGTCAGAACACCGGAGCACCCAGAGAGGACCCACACAGGGAGAACATGAAGCCTGTCCAGGATGTAGCCTGCCCCTCACCCAACATCAGCTGCATTAGGGTCACCACATGGCCCTGAAATGGTAAGAGGGAGGGAGTGGAGGAGGGAGGAAGGATGGATGTCCTCCAGTTTCCATAAGTTACACACACACAGCAAAATCTCAACACTGGAGAGTGTCTATATGGGTCCACACCTCTGAGTGTTAAATACAACACTGTTGAGTGTTAAATTAACACTTTTGACAGTGTTATATGTTTAAAAGTAACCTAGTCAGTTTTGAAGATTAACAATGACTAACACTGAGCAGTGCTGATTTTCTAACACTGGAAAATAACTCAAAATGTTAGAAATAGTGTTAGTGTTAATTTAACACTGGAGATTTTGCTGTGCACACACACACACACACACACACACACACATATGACTTGCACCACTAATGTAAAGTAATATTGTTGAGTACTGATGATCAGTGTTTGCATCCTAAATATAATGACACAATCAGACAGCAACTGCACATAGAAATACTTTTAAGTACATTAAAAAATTGCAATCAGAAGTGTTGTGTGTTAAAGTACTGATCTAGTTTCACTCACTGGTCCTTTCTGACCCAGTGGTCTTGGGCACTTTAGTAATGAGCCCGGTCACCAGATTTTAAATTTAGTCTTCTTGAAAGTCTCAAATGGTATCATTTCCTTTTACTGAATCACTCAATGCAGAAATGAACCATGGTGGCATGGTGGAAATTACGAAGACATAAAAATCACGCTACTTAAACTCCAAATATATCCCTTTTTCTGACTTAATTACTACATTTCCTATAAATAAAGAAGCTTTTACGCTTGTAAGAACTCAAAAGTCTGAGGTTTGCTTTAATATATGTTTACCGTTACCACAATTTAAAGTGAGAAATGGTGAAAACAGACATGAAAAAATTACTACAGCACAACTTAAAAAATAAATACACTTGAATTTGTTTTCCAGTCATTGATACATTTCACAGAATAAATCTATTTGTCTTTTTCCTGTTTATCCACCAGGTAGCACCAGGTAACCACGTGATCTGGGTATTAATACTACTAACAACAGCATTTCTGTTTTTGTAGGATGTTCGCTCCTTTATCAACTCACCGAGCAGCCCAGCTTTACTCATAAAGGTTTCACAGCATATTAGGCAGTCAGCTGTACAAACCCACAACATATGCGCTACATGTGTATTAGAGTAGTCTCTCTGTTGACTTACAGGGAAAGCAGGCGAATAGCCCTGATATTTGGGTTTGATATTAAATATGCTAATTTGAGTGCTGCCTCGGAAACATTAGAAATAAAACTTTGCCATCAAAAATCCCTGAATGTGGCCTTGAAGTCAGGTTGTTTTTCTTTATGTAGTTTCACCAATAAGTTTCACTTCGTACTGTGCGCTGGGGTAGTTGCATTCACCGTCTGCTCGGAAATGTAACTTCTGCAAATAAATATTTCTAAGCGAATTGGAAAATCAGCTGAGACTAAAACTAGTGAAGGACAGAGTTGTGCTTAGATAGGTATTTGTTATGATGCATTTCATTTAATTGGTTATAGTATTTTAATTTTGACCACCTCTTTAAAACTATTTATTTATTAGTTCAAATGGGCAGTAAAACAGAAAAACTGAAACGTCATCTGTGCTGTTGTATCAAATTTGATTGATCACTTCAGACCGCTTTCATGAAGTGTGAATATTCTTACAGTCCGTGAACGCCACGTGATATCACGCTTAAATGCGCCCACTGTGCTCCCTCCGGTCTACAAACGCTCGGATGGAGAGCGGCTTCAGCTGCAAGCTCTAAACTTCAGCGGGCATTGCTGTGTCTCTAAGGTCAGTACACTTTCCTTTGGTTTCCAGCCCGAGGTTTCTGAACTTTAGTCAATAACTAGAGAAAAGCATTTCTCCCTACTTTTTAGGTTTTAAGCGGCTGCTTTGCAATTTGCGAAACGCGTGTTTGCCATTAGGTGGTGATGTTATTTTTAGAAACACAGAACGGGTGAAAATAATCTACATTTATTCACTGACACGAAAACATCTGTATTTAGAGTATTATAAAGTTGTGTAAGTGTGTGTGTGTGTGTGGGGGGGGGGGGGGGGAGTCACACTTAACACCTTTAGTAACTATGCGTTTGTATGAACACAAATACACTACAAATACACAAAAAAATACTAAACTAAAAATACTTACATGTAGGCATTTACTTGTGGATTAACTACTGTATTATTATTATTATTATTATTATTATTATTATTATTATTATTATTACTACTGTGTAAACAGGAAGCTGGTCTGGGGTTACCTACTTCTGCATTTAGGTAGTTTGGGCCATAATACTGTACAACAATATAAGGCATAATTTATTTATAGGTATCTTTCAAGACATAAAACTAACAAAATCATTCTATAAATAACAAACTCACAAGTAAAGGTGATAAAGTAAAGGTAAATACACTCACAGCATTTTACTGTCTGGAGCTGATTGAGTGCGAATTCATTTGAGCCAATTTACACAGTAAATCATAAGAACCTGATCAATACTGCTGGATTTTAGGGTCTGAAACTGAGAAGCTGGGGGGAAAACTTTTATACTTATTCAGCTGCCCATTTTTTAATAGAAATATTCATGCAGTCTGATAGAGTTACATTGAAATTAAACAATTATGGTGTTATAGTTTAGTTTTGTCAGCGCTGAGTTCACAGTGCCACAATTTTTTCCATGATATTATGCAGAAAGTTCCCAGAGTTCCTCCTGCACCACTATGTCTGTAATAGGCTGGTATTGGTCTGTAATGTGGGCCAGCACTGTGCAATATTGTGTCTGCATGCTAGCTGGTTTAGCCTCTAATGAAGGCATTAGTGTAGGTTGACCTTTAAAGGTTTTGAAGTGTAGTCCCAGTGTCAAACTAAGCAGCTGACGTTAGCTGCTGAGGGTCAACTCTTTGTGTGTGCCTTTAAATGAGTGACCGCTTCAGGGATGCTTTGAGTGTCGAAGCAGCAGCTACTGTATGGTGAAAGGCCTTTGCCACACACGGACACCTGTCAGTAACAACAAAGCTCTCCAGCCTCCTCTTTTAGCTGCTTCAGAAAGCAAACACACGCTGTGCTTTGATGTTGCTGGGTACAGAGGGTCAGGTGGGAGGCTCGTTAGACTTTGTCCCCTCTCATGAAAGCTTTCTGAAAGGTCTCCAGCACCAGATCACTCGCACTTGACCTTCTTTGTACCTCCATGAGTGGGTTTGAGGATGGGCAGGGGCTAAAGGGGTGGTGGGGGTGGTGGCATTTGAGCAACAACGGGTGGTGGCACCTCAGATGCCAGCACACATTGCAGTGTGCGCTATGAGAAAACACAATAAAGTCAAGTCTATTTATTCTGTATTTTGGTTGTTTGGAAGTAGATAAACATAAGCTGCACGAGTGCATCACAGAGATCTGACGGCTTCTGTTCGAAGACAAACACAAAAGTGTGTTTGTGTTCTTATATGTGAGGGAAAATAGTTCTAAGCAGTAATCGAAGGGATTGGGGCAGCTTATTTCAACAATGACCCCTGTGTTAGTCCTGTTTAAATCCACTTAGGTTTAGCCATAACGTGAGTGTTTCATGAGCATCACACCACAGAGGTGTAGGAAACACAAACATCTTCAAGCTTGAAGCCTTGAGGTTGTTAAAATCAGCCTTTTTCTGACTGACCGACAGCATCAGTTCGTTCCAACTCTTTCAATGCTGCCACTTTTTCCTGCAATTTTCTTCTCAAAAGGAAACACATTCGATGATTTCTGCATCATTGTCCATAAATTTCACAGCACTGGAGTTCAAGGTTTGCTCTTCTGGTTTGAAGAATGGGTTTAAGTTTGTAATGAGCTCCCCGGCTGCTTGTTATCGCTCGTCATGCAGATCAGTGTGCTTTAAAAAGAAAAACTACAGGTGGGGGTTCCTTCACTCTTCTTTTATCAGTAAAACAACAACAACTGGCTCGCTGCACCTGCAGTTGCAGAAACAGATAGATTACTGGGTGATTCCGTTGCAGAATTACATTTCCTATTAACATGCTTCTTTTCAGTCTAATATGACCCTGAATTTGCATTTTCAGTACAGCACTGCCTGGAAGATTTTGCTGGTAGGTGACTGACTCATATCACCAGGCCAGTAATTGGAAATGTGGCATATGTAAATTTAATCCGATCAAGTCAACTTGGCTCTCATTTCAAATCTGAAGTAACACCTCACAAATAACTTTCACAGCTATCAAAACCAGCAAGAGATAAAGTTAAGAAGTACAAAACTTAGCAAAAACCTTATTTACGGTAGGTGTTATTAAAAGCAGGCTTTAGCTTTTAACAAAAATAATACATTTTGTTGATGAATTACAGTTATTTTTATACTTAGTCCCCTATTTTTATGTGTAAAAGAAAAATCTGATTTAAAAGCAGCCTGTGTGGACTTTCATCAGTTCTTTATAAATTAAGCAAGTAAAATATGACCTGTATTTACACCATAACATGGGGTCAATGGAGCCGGTAATGCAAGTGAAACAGGCTGCAAAAGCAAAACCATCCCTACTTCCACCATCAGAGGTGGAGCTTCAACTTTACAAGTAGAAAAATTTTTTTTGATAAAATTAAAAATACATTTTATTGGGATTTTTTTTAAAATATTTTGTGCTTGGCAACACAAAAAAAGACTAGAAGACCACAGAGACAGCAAGGGTGGATGATCTCAGGATCCTTTCCACAGGGAAGAAAACAAGAGCCGACCACTACTCTGGAATAAGCCCGATCTTTATCCGAACGGCATTCTTATTTAGCTGGAAGCAACACTTTATGATCTGAAACGATATCCTCTGGAAAGCACAGCGGAAAGAGCGTGATGGCATGAACACGCATACCTTCCAAAGGCATTGGTCACAAGTGTTATTGATGATGACAGGAGACAGGAGCAGCCTGCTGAATTAGTGTCGAACCAACCCAGGAGCTTTTCTGCAGTGTCTACGGCCCCACTCACACGGGCCTGGAGACTGCTCAGTGACCCCCTGACAATCACCTGGTCGCTGGGTAAAAATGCCTTTGCCATTGTGGTTGCTGGTGAAATTGGTCACAAAGAGTGCGCTGCACCAAAAACATTCTTGTAATTGCACCGAGGTTTTTGGTACAGCTGTGTAAACTTCACGAAAACCGATTTCAGCTAGCCAGTTTGCTGGCAGCCTGCAGCAGCCACTCAGAAAATAACCTGTGGTTGGCAGGGAGTCACTGACAACTCTCTAGACCTACTCGACTGTGGCTTTAACAGTCAATTTCAAATTGACTGCCATCACCTCGCCAACTGGTCGGGTAATAGCCATGTTTGCCTAGCAACCAGTGGTTGGCAACCGGTTTCTAGACCTGTGTGATTCAGGCCAATATCAGTCATTTGTTCTCAACCCAGCTGGGCTGCATTTCACTGAAGACAAGGCTAAAGGCCAGTAACCGCGTTTCACAGTTGTATTTATACCCGCCGTTACACGCAGGAAGCCGCCCCAGTATTGTCCTCAACGATAGATGTCGCCACTCAGACAATATCCCCAATCAGCGCTGATGTAGGAGGAGAAGAAGTGAAAACCGGAAGCCAAGACTTTGAGTTTGTTTTTTGGACAAACTCTAAAGTTTGCAAACTGTTCCAACACCTCCCTCTGTATACCTGTATGTCTCTGAGCTTCTGTACTGGGACATAATTAAAATGACAGTAAAAACCATCATGAGCGTACACTCACATCTTCAATCCAGCTGCGGTGGCCGTGGTTACGAGAATCGAGAGGTGCACGACCAACGCCACAAAGACCGTGTCCTTCAACAGATGATGTCACGCCAAAATTGGCACGCAAAACCCACGAAAGGGAGAGCATAATTGGGCCATTAGACAGGAAGACCCAGAAAGCACCACAAAGGAGGAAACTCGTTCTGTGGTGACAGACTAAAGGCCACCATTCCCTGCAGAGTGTTATTGGCAAATATTAAAAATTGCGATTTTATTTATTTTTAATCTGTTCACTTACATTTAAGCACCTGGAAATAAGTGACCTTGTATACGAATGGCTGTAATTTCTCAAAAGTTAAGGGAGTGCTTTTGTTGTATGACAGCTGCTTTCTAAATGATGCATTGCCATGACACCACCATACAGTATCAGCTCATTACAACAAAGGCTTTTCACTTGTACAATTCTGAGAAAACATCATAAAACCTTTGGAACTGGAATTGGAATATTATCCGATGTTCATTGAAGTTACAGTTATATACAAACTCAATCTGACCACCCCAATAGTAAAAAAAAAAACAGTTTTGACCTTCTTTGTACCTCCATGAGTGGTAGTGATAAACCCATCCAGCAATCTTTCACAGTCGTGTCTGGAAAAACCAAGTGAACCTCTGCTGCTAATTACTTTGACAAAAACAGCAGTGGGAGTTAAAAGTGGAGGTTATACAGGTGCCCCTCCCTGTAATTTACTGACTGTCTGCACTTTAAAGGAGTTCGAACCAGTCCTCAGTCACAACAACTTTCACTGGACCTCAGAAGAGAAGGATCACAAAGACAAGAGTAGCACCACAACACCTGGAGACATTTCTGTGGCTAGATAACATCCTATAGTTTTAAAAGACCACCTGGATATTTCACAACACTTCTAGGACACTTTTCTGTGGACAGAAAATCCCTGGAGGAAAAAAACTGAAAGTAAAAGGGACTCTGCAGGCACATAACATAACCTCAGCTCAACTGTGAAGCAAGGCGGAGGGAGCAACATGGTTTCAGCTGCTTTCCTACCTCAGGGCCTGGATGGGTTTCAATCATTAGGAGAGCAATGAATTCAAAAAAAAAGTCGTTGGCAGGAGAGGTTTAGTGTTGCTGAACTAAACCAGTCACATAAAAGGGAGTGGTCCAGAAATGTGTCATCATTGTTGCCTAAGCCTCATAATCAGCTACAGGAAACGTCTGATTAAAGGTGTTTCTGGTAAAAATAAAAAAAAAGGTTCTAGACATTACTAAATTCAGACGTTCACGTACTTTTTCCAGCTAAAGTTATTACATTATGTTCACATATTATTCAGTTATTATGTGTTTGTGTGTTTGACTGTTACTGCAACACCAATAACGATCAGTACTCAGACCACATTTTATTTTATGTGGTCTAATAGAAAACTTCTCGCAACTGTAGGTTTAATGCAGATGTTCCAAGATCAGTGTACAGCTTGCTTTGATGCAGTCAGGTTAAAGCTTTACATTTCACATTTATATAATAATCTACATATAATTTCTAACCTAAATCTTCCAAACCCATCGCAAAGAAAACTTTCAGCTTCGCGTCGCTTTCTCTGTCCTCCTCCCGCCTTTTTGAAAAATTTAGAGCAGCAGGGTTTTGGGTCTGATTTTGTTTTTCAATCTCAAATTTGCTACAGCCCCACCTGTCAGGCTTCAAAAACAAAAAATTAAACCGCTCAGAAACAGGAAGTGTGGTTGCACTGATGTAACAGAGCACCGGAAGTCTAACTCCTCCTGCTTGAACGCAGCCTTTTACAACAGGTTCAACCTACACGAAAAACTGCGAGGGAGGGCTGCTGCTCTGCATATTTCAAAAGTTTGAATCTGTGATGTTAGGCTTGTGTGGGAGTGTGTGAACGTAAGTGCTGGCATGCACTTGTGATACTAACATCAGGGCCAAGGATATACAGACGAAGCGCCGAATGTTACTGTGTGTATAGGGACGTAACTACTTATCAAAACATGCTACATTAAAGTAAAAAGTGAAGTCTAACCTTCACATCTTTCAGGCTTATTCAAATTGAGAGTCTATAAAGTTTTCATAAACTTATTAAAAACACAAGTATAACTGTGTCCTAGTTTCACATGCTTAGCATTATCAGTATTATAGTTCTCAGTATGTAAGAGTTCGGGAAAAAATGGCAACTTCAAGTAAAATGAAGATTATTCTCAAAAAGGATGAAAGAAATCGAAATTTATGTAGTAACAGCTCAAAAAAGTAAGTGGTTAGATCATTTCTACCCAATGGTCTATGATTCAGAAACTGCTGTATGTGTGATAGAGAAAACTGTCAGGGATTAACATGTGGAATAACTGCTGGGTTTCTTCACCCTGTGTGATACCACGCTGACTAGTTCAGTGGTTTAAATGGAAATTTAATGGTATAAGTAATGGAATCTATACAGCCACTCAAACTAACGTAATGTGAACAAACCAAGCAAGTTCAAAGAGGCCACAACATTTCCGAGAGTAAAGTTATACCTGGTTTACTAAAAGTGTGCAGTATTTTAGTACCTGGTAAATCAGTTTTGTTTTTTGTTGTTGTTTTGTTTTTTTTTTAAGAAATGGCTCATGAAATACTGTAATTGTGGCTTCTGAGCTGCCAAATAGTTTGACATTTTGTGCATAACAAATTTATATTTTTGTTTCCCTCCATGATGATAAGCCTAATGTTTATTCTCCTTTTAGTTCCAACTGTCTGGGGAATATATATCTTTAGCTTCAGCATTATACTTTTATAATGCACAGACTTTGGGGGTGTAGATTTTCCCAGAAACTGGCTGCTTTTTTAATATTTTGCAATGGGAGTATTTTTACAAAAATGCACAATGGGGGGCACTGACGGAAGGGGCTTCACACTGGGAGTACCTGGAGTTTGGAAGAGTGTATTTGCGACAACAGCCACTTACTCAAAAGGCAAGTTAACATGGCTTGGATTAGCATGTGGTATGAGCCAAGGTAGCTGCATGCCATTAAACTGTGTTCGCATAGAGTAGCATTGTATCAAACATACCTCAAACATGCACTATTAAAAAGCTTTCATTCTTTTGTGTTGACTTTCACGTCTATTTTATTTATAGCCTAGCACTAGAGACGCGAAGGATGCCCACCTTGGTTTAAAACTAAAACTGCATTCATTACAGCTATCCGCTGACACTGGGGGAGGGGCGGGTCAAACAGAGCAACCAAACAGAGAAAGCCCTCACGCTTTCAGCTGGTTTTATGTACAGTTTTTGAATCCTCCACCTGATGATGCCGGTCAGGTGTTAAGTTTGTAGTCCAGTGTGGTATTTAAGGACTGTGCTGAAAGCGATCAGCAGATGTGACCAAAGTACAAAACATTGGACAAAAGTTGCCTCTTAAAACAATGCGATAAGCTGAAAGATGCAAAAATGCCTTACTGTCAAGCTCAATGATAACTATATAATACACGGTTGATTAGAAATCAAACGTTTTTTTGATTTGTTGAGTTAAAAGGACCCAACAGGAATGGATGTGCCATCTCTTCCATGTTGTCATTACTGTCCTACATCATACATAGCAGGAATTTATTCTGATCTTCAGTGACCGGACCTGTGAAACTGCATGATAAACCTGTTAAATTACAGAAAAAGTTATGACTGTTCACAGACTGTTATAAAATACAATGTTTTTGTTATTTTAATGCTGGTATTTAATTTTTTATGTCTCAGTTAACTTTTTGGGTGAAGTATGAAAATGTCAATTAAAAGTTTAAAATTTATACTGGTTCACGTTTCTAAATCTGTCCAATGTCATCACCGGGCTGATTTTGGCCCACCGGGCTAAGCTTCCGTTAGCTAGTTCGATTTGTTCAACTCAAATTCTAATTCTGCATGAAACACCTCGTGCTTTACTTTGGGAGCTAAAAAGTTAAAAAATTCTCTCTGTTAAGATGTTGAACTGCGCTGACGCAGTGTACACAAGTTCACGTGACGCTACTTAAGCACAGTAAGCTTTACAGTAAAGAATGATGATGAATATTGCAGACTCAGGCGCATGCTGTCATATATTCCACATCTGCGTTTAGTATTTCAGCTCTATTAATAGTCCCTGTCTTCTCTCCACCACTGGGACTGACATTGACACACAAACACACACACACAAACACACACACAGAGCTCTTCAGCAGGCCTCAAATGTCACATCGGCCTTGACCAAGTCGAAGACACTGCAGCGGTCGCAGAGGAAGTGATTTATAGGTGTGTTACTGTGATTATTAGCATGGCTGATCGCACAAAGCAAAGAGATTATTTGTTTACAAGCCCTAAAGTTATGAGAGGTTGGGTTTTTTTTGGTTGCGTTTGGTTTCGGCGGGTTGTTTTTTTTTCATTGCTCGCAGTGCTTTATGTGTGAAACTCTGCAAAGCATGGCAGATGCGTTCCTGTCCTCTCATTAAATGTGTGGTTTGAGACATTTTATCAGGGGGAGAGTGTACGAGAAGAAGTTTTGTTGTTGATTTGATTTTAAAACTTGCTGTAGCAGCCAGCTGGAGCAGATAAAAGTTACATGTTTGCAGGGAAAGAGCTTGTGGTTACGGCGTCACGGGTGATGAAATGTCTGTGTCTCTCTCTCTTCCTTTTTACAGGTTCTTTAAAGTGTCAGGGGTGGAAAGAAAAAACTCCCTGCCTCCTCCCCTCTGCTAGCCCATCTTTCCTGTGGAGGAAGAGGGGCAGTCGGTGCATGCTGCAGTGGAGGAGAGGTGGTTCACACCAGTGCACGAGCTCTCAAAGCTCACAAATCTCATCTATTTCTCATCTATTCAAACTAAGAGGACTTCATCTGGAGCGCATCTGTGGAGGCTGTTTGGATATTTGAGCAGCGGTCAGACGGTAAAAGTCTGCAGACATGTCGCCTTTCCTACGGATCGGATTTTCCCACTTTGAGATTGATCCGGGTCTGGCTTATCATGAGGAGGTGCTGAACCCATACTGTGCTGTTTATATGAAGGAGGCCGTTGACACAGGTTAGTGACTATAAATAATAATCATTTTAATTTGAGTCCATTCAATCAAATGAAAGTTGAGCATTTAATTGAACAGTGGTTACAGACACTGGAATTGTTGGTCCACAAGACCCTGACTGTAACCCACTGAGGTCTAAGTGGTCGCTGGTGACCACCCCAAACCCTTTTTCTGCCCCTTGATGGCCAAAATTGGAAGAGCAACTTTAAAAAAGGACAAAAATGACATAATCTGATTGCACAGGGTTGGATTTAGGGTTACGGTTAGGATTAAAGTCCTCATCGATGACAGCTTAAACTTCAGAGGGTTAAATTACACAGTGAGGTGGAACATTTTGGCATGTGTAATTATGTTTTGGTTTTGGCGATTGCATCATCTTTGTTTGTTTGGGGGGGATTTCGTAGCCACACAAGCTCAGAATTGATTCAGTAATTTAGCTATTGATCCAGAAAAACACCAAACATTGACTGCTTTTATGTTCACAAATGTGACTTTGTTTCTTTTCTTTGACACGTATGATTGTAAAACTGTTCGCTTTAGATTTCTAACAAACAAACAGTTTGAAGACATTATCTTTACATGTGGTTGACTTAATCCTTTCTTTTTTAACTTTTTGAAATATTAGATATTTATATATAGGAATCAACTTCAGTAATAATCTCTGTGCATGTTTCCACAAAAACAAGTTTGGAACAGAATCCAATTATTTTCAACTCATTTTAACTTTGAATTTTGCAGAAATATCATAAAGACAGCTTGTCAAAAGCTAGAAATGTTAATTTTATTAAAAAGCTATCCTCATTTTGCTTCAGCTACCGTGGGAACATGGGCTTGGTTACCATTGTGCAATGTTGCGCACCACTTTTAACAGCAACACTCTGAGTGTAAGTGTTTGAGGCCTAGGGAGAGCAGTCGTTGCAGTGCCGACAGTGTTATAAGCTTGGTGTAGGTTTTAAGATGATCAGCAGCCTCGCTTTGGCTATTTTTTTAGTTTCAAAAACTGGTGAAATGTTTTTGAGGTGTGAGCTGCGGGCCCACCAGCTTACACCGGGACTCTTTTACATGCTGCTGTGCACACTGATGCAAAATGTGATTTGGCACCATCTTACTGAGTCTCCTCGGGAAACAAATGGTGTCACGATGGCAGCGTGTGTTGATGGTTCATCATTAGCGCTGCCTTCACAAATGTTAAGAACTAAATGTTACCCATGCCTCAAGCAACTATACTCCTCTTTATCCTCACTGACACGGACTTTTTAACTGAACAAGCCTTCAGCTCTGAAGAAACAGATGTCTGTGATTTTCATGAATTCAAATTTCTAATCAGTCTGATGACAAGAAAGGTTTTTCCAGTCGCCTCAGTCCATCCTTAACGAGCTCGTGTCCAGAGAAAGTGATCTGGAATTTCAGGATCTTGTTGTAGTTTAATTTGTTTGTGTGGCAGAGTTAAAAATAAAGAGCTCCTGAGCCCAAGCAGTCATTTCCACTACATGGTCATGCTGTTTATATATTTACCATATATAATGAAATTCTCAGTTTTTTTAAACATTCACTTTTTTCCTTCTTAAAGACTCTTAAATACCTCTCTGGTATCTTTTTTCGTAAAAGAGAACACACAACTCCCATCCTCGCTTCACTCCATTGGCTGCCTGTATATCTTAGAGTTCATTTTAAAATTCTCATGTTTGTTTTTAAATGTTTAAAAGGTCTTGCCCCAACTTACCTCTCTGAGCTTCTGCATCTTTACTCACCCCCCAGGTCTCTCAGGTCAGCTGACGAGTTGCTCCAGGAGAAAGCTCAGAGGGGACAGGGCCTTCTCTATTGCTGCTCCTAATCTCTGGAACAATCTGCCCCTGCGCATTAGAGAGGCCCCTTCACTGTCCACTTTTAAAACAAGTCTTAAAATCCATTTTTACTCCTTGACATATGACACAGTATGTCCCTGATTTTATTGTTTTAAATCTAATGTGCTCATTTTATTGTTTTACATGTAATTCTAATGATCATTTTATACTATTTTATTTTTTGCTATTTGTGCTGATTTTATTATTTTAAATGTCATTTTAATTATCATCTTATTTTTAAAAATTTTTATCTTTATTTTATTTTTTTTTAACTTATTCAATGTATCATTTCTGGCATGTCAAGTGTACAACACTGTGTGTTCATCTGGGAGTTGTTCTGAAAGCGCTATATAAATAAATTGCCTGCTTATATGCAACTAAATCCTAACCTGATGAGGAAAGTCAAGCGTTACGTGACTTTTCTGGTCTGTATGTTGCTCACATTCAAATCGTAAGGATGACATTTCTTTTTATATGTCGTCTTTGTATTATTCTAGCTCACATATGGGTCATTCCATCTCACATTAGCATAGACTGACATTTTTGAATGCATCTGTCCCAAATTACAGATCTTGGTTCATTTGGATGGGAACAAAAATCAGGGAAAATGTTTGTTTGTTTTTTAAATTCATGTTCACACATGTTAATCAAAGGAGTAAAAGTGGGTTGGCAAACCTTTTTCTTTTTAATATATGTTGTGCAACATATTTGCAGTCATTAAACATCTGCAGACTTTTTTGAATGCAAATCTGAGACGGTCATGTTGAAGGCCCACGTTGATTTGCGATGGACTGACCCCTTTAGAATTGAAACATCTTGTAGATCACTCATTCTCACTAAGTTTATTATTAAATATTATTTAATATTTCACAGGATCGCAGCCCTTCTGTAGACAGGGTTGCCATAAAAACCCACACTATGCTCACTGGGTTTTTACCAGAAAAAAGAAAGAAAGAAAGGTTTTCCATGCAGCACAGGAAGTGATGCTCAGGAAGTTTTCAGTGAAGCAACAACAGTGTGTGTTGGGAACAGAAAATGTCGACTGTGACTGTGGTAGTAGGTTACAGCGTAGAACGCTTCACTGATTATCTGTAACTGTTTTCATAGTGAATCAGCTATGTTTACTTTCACTTTGAAGGACGCTGACATACAGTTCCAGCAAGTCTTTCCGGCTACGTCTGCAGAATCTGAGGTATTGGATGGCTCATATAGCAGGAATGTTCAAGGACTCAACAACATTTTTAAATAATAGAAATGTTAATGGGCTTATACTGTAAGCCCAGTATGCCCTTTAAGCTCTCTTTTGGGTTGTTGATTCACATCCAGTGTCACAACTGTGGGAAACTTCCCAGCGTGATATAGCCTCACAGCAGAAATCTTAGTTCTGCATCTGGCTAAGTTTAACCACTGCTGAGTATGAGTGCAGGATAAAGTTAAACACAGTGTGTGACTGAGAGGAAAGAGGAGGGTCCTTATGTTTCTTTTCCTCTTCAATGTAACCGCAACGCTCGTCCTACAGGGTAGCAGAGCGACACTCTGTGTGTGTGTTTCACTTACACTTTCACCGGGGAACTAAATGTAATTTAGTTTCGTTTCACTTTACTTTGGATTAAAAGTATATATTTTTAATGCATGAGTCATAACATTGTGAAGAAGCAAAGAGTGGACGCGTCATTGATCTTATGATGTGCTTAAACTGAAATATTCACATGAAGTGAAGACATCCACTACTTCATCACAAAGAGTACCCTTAAAAAGGGAAAAGCCGTTTACGTTAAACAGTGTTGCAGTGTTTATGAGGAGCATATGCTCGCTGGCAGCGTGAAATGAAGAGCTGACTAGAAAAGATAAAAAAACAGTAGATAGCTCCCATCAGGCCCCTTTTGGCTCACTGTGACTTATTTCATCTTCAAATAACAGTGACTGAAGTCGCCTTTAGTCGAGTGTGTTCAGGCTCTCTTTAGGTTTCTCCGTTTTCGACTCTGCCAAGCACAGCAAGTCGTCCACAAGTGCAACACTTTAAAGCCGCATGATTTTCTGTTCTTACAGTGCTGTTTTTTCAAAAGTAGCGTTGGCATGATGGTATGCATGGCTGTGCCAAATAACTCGTGTCTGTTCCTGTATAATGAAGTTTATAAGGCTTTCAATGATTCCACTTTTAGATTTCTTGTGTAATTTAGTCTGGAAAAGTTAAAATATATTATCAGTAGCATTTATACTTATACAGACACAGATATAAAATGTGTATCTGCACTAAGTAAAATCCTTACTTTCAAAATAAGGCCAGCATGTTCTGTACATGTAAAAACAATATGAGAAATCCAGTCATGTGTCTCTCCGCACCGAAGCAGAACGGTAAATACCATAGACTGTATATGAAAGATGGTTGGCAGAGCATTTGAACTGTGCTTACTTCTGCTCCAAAACCAGCATGGTTCACCACACTTTTCAGATTGGAGGATGGTGTCCCATGCTCTCCAGTCTAATTAACAAGGCACATATATAGACTGTACAGTTGTATCAGTAAACTGCAGAGATGTGCATGCATGCTAATTAGTGCTAAGTCACATCAATAAAAAAAAAACAAAAAAACTTAATCATTAGGTGGTTGCCAGGACAAGACTATCAGAAAAATCCTTTGGCTCTCTTGATTTAAGCCCTTATTTAATTCTTATATGAACTATGTATGGTCTCAATCGCAGCTTTTAAGTCTTGCTGAACACAACAAGGGTACGACAAGGGTAGGTCCTAAGATCACTGGAAGCAAGATGCAGTGGCTACGTCCATTTTTTATATACAGTCTGTGATTATGGTAATCGAGGAGAATTTCTCATGTCACTGATGTGTTTTCAAAAGGCCTGGACAACAATAGGACTCTGTGGCATAGATATCAGTTCTTGGAAGCACAGACAGTACTGGTTAGTTAAATCAGCTCATTGTTGGTTTTGCTTTTCACAAACTACGCTGACAGCGAGACATGTATTCATGAAAACTCAACAGGTCATTCAAACAGTGAATCATTTTTAGTGAATTCCACTTTAGAATTTTATTCAAATGAGGCAAACCTGATGAGCCAGGGATCTGAAGCTCAAACACAGCAGACAGATTTGCTTTATTGGATGGATTTCTTTCTCATTGTCCCATTCAGTGTTTCTGTGCGTTTTTACCGACAGTATATACAGAGAGGGAAATGTAAGCCCCTTCAAAAGAGCGAAGACATGAGAGCACAAACTCTAAATAGCACTTTGTGCTTTTTCAAAGAACACAGACTGACAACTGCATGGAGCCAAAACATCACCATGCTCTTTGCTTAATGCTGCAAGGAAACCTTTAAAATAAAAAAGACACCGTCTGATAAATCCTGTGCGTCTGGGGAGACAAACACACATTTTCCTCTCTTTGTGCTTTAATCAGCTCTGACAGCAGCTGGCAAAGGCGATGGACAGAAAGGCAATGAGCCGATGAGATGGAGAAGGCAGCGGCTCACTTTGGGAGTAAAAAGCTTAGAGGGCTTTATTGTTGAAGCAGCAGGATAGCATGTGGCTGTTATGTAAGTGGATATATGAGATGTTATTGCAGAGAAAAATCAACAGATGTGAATTACAAAGGCTTTCTTTCCCTCCCAGCCATATGATGCAATTGAAAATCTGTCAACATTCAGAGTGAATGGTAGATGGTCTGTATTTGTATAGCGCTTTACTTGGTCCTAAGGACCCCAAAGCGCTTCACACTACATTCAGTCATCCACCCATTCACACACACATTCACACACTGGTGATGGCAAGCTACAGTGTAGCCACAGCCGCCCTGGGGCGCACTGACAGAGGCGAGGCTGCCGGACACTGGCGCCACCGGGCCCTCTGAATGATGATATAATCTGCTTGCTGGGTGGTCAAATATTCAAACATAGTGCAATGTCTAACAGCACTAACAAGCACATGGGATCAAAGACGGTCATGAATCTGGCTTTAAAGAGCAGCTTGATACATAAACAAATAAATAACATTTTCTGTTTTTTCACTGTCTACTGTAGAAACTTGTGATTTTTCGCAGTGGGCCCAAAGTTTTTAAAAAAAGAATTTCTGTCAATTAACTAGAATTTTACATTTTATAATTAAAGGGCAGAATGTGCAATAAGCTTTTGATGAGTTTTTTTCTGTAATGTTAGACATTTATTTTTTTCCAATTCAAGCTCAAAGCACCTCTTTTTTCAATCATGTAGAAAAACTGAGATGTAAAGTTTAAATTGCACTTTTTCTTATAATTAAATATCTCGGGAATAAAATATGTAGTTAAATCTCTCTACACTGACAAATACAAGAGTTTTAATTGTCCAGACCACTTAAGATTAACTTATTAATTTCCTTTTTCAGTGTCTGTAATGGTTAAAACAGTCAAAAACAGCAGTGTTTTCTTTTCTTTGTGGTATTTTCAAATTTGTTATGGGACAAAATCTCCAGAGCTTGTGATTTTGTGATGACATTTTCTCTAGTGGTCGAAGCGTAGGTAGCAAAAGACAGGTTAACCTGTCCCTGACACACAATGTCATCATTCCCAGCAGATGTTCTAAAGTGCTGCAGGCATGACTTTTATTTTGTAGGTCAAACTGGAAGTTAGCATCACCCCACTTCCTTGGCTAAAAGCTAATGAGATTTGAGCAAGATAGCCTCGATGAACAGGTGTCTCTTTTATGTTTTTTGAAGCATGAATGCAATTGCAAGAAGCAAAACACTAACAGTGGGCTGTAAACAAAAACACCACCCCTGCAAAGTTCCCATGTTCACCTACGTAACAGTAAATTTTCCCAACAACTTCATCAGAACCATTTAGCCACTTGTTAGCAACCACATTTTGTGGGACTTCACCAACTAGCTTCAAAGATAAGGAGTGGGGTACTTCATAAGAGGCTGCAGAACAAATCATGTAAAACATGTAATAACCAGAGACTGTATTTCAGTCTTCTAGCTAAAAAAAAAATAAAAAAATTCATTGTGATGTTGTAAGTAATTCATAGCAAATAATGCTAACTCAGTTCTGGATGATTAGGAGTTATGCTTGTGGTACTCTTTTGGATAAAAGCCAGACTTTGGAAAACTGTATGCCACACAATATTTTAAAAGTAAATGTTGATCAAATGTCACATCATGAGCAAATGGATAAAAATACAGTCTGTCACCTGGCAGACATCTACCTAATGCTTTCCACCTTTCTTATTCTCATTCTCAGAAACATGCAGCCACTTATTCCAATTGAAAATGTAGGTGTTTGCAAAATCTTCAAATAACTAATTTTTCATTTTGAAAATGAAGCTGAGCAATACACCAACAGCTGAGCGCTGTTTGCTTTTTATCTGCTCAAACAAGAGTAAATGTAGTCAGTATTTCTGGAAGCAGGACAGTGCGTGGAGGATAGAGTTGAAATATCCTTGGGAGTGTGTGTAGAAGTGTGCTTCATGTATCTGTTTCTTTAATAGTTTCTTGACAACACTGGAGCTCTGTGGTGTGGACTATGAAGTGATTTCTGCTGTCAAAAAGACTTCTGTGCAATGAAATAAGAGTCAATTTTATCTCATGTCCTACCTATAAAGAAGTGGCCTTTATTTCTTTTTTTTTCGTTACAGAGAAGGGTCAAGTGTACAAGCAGAAGAAGCCCACCATGTATCCGCCCTGGAGCACCACATTCGATGCCCACGTCCACCGCGGGCGCATCATGCATGTGATGGTAAAAGACCGGACAGCCGAGCTCAAGTCTGAGGCCACGGTAGCTCTGGACTCGCTGGCAACACGGTGCAAAAAGGAGAACGGCAAGCTGGAGATTTGGGTTAGTGCATCAGGATGGATTGATGCGTGCGCTTGTTTGAAGTGACAGACCAGCTGTTTAGTTACGCAAGCAAAAAGAAATCCAGATGTGCAGATGCGTTTAAAGGGGTAATCCTCCTTTAAATTATTAAAAAATAAGAGGTTTTTTTGTAATAAGCATCATCATATGCACTGAAATCAAAACACTAACGGCTTTTAGATCATAGCAAAAGAAGCCTCGGTTAAATTAATTACTTTAATGATGGCTCTAATCCACGTCCTAGTAAGCAAAGTCAATGAGCCAGTGCACACAACACCATCAACAAGCAACATCTGTGCTTCTCCTGCTGTGACCGTTTCAATGTACTGAGAACAAAGTTGTCCCATATTTTCATGGTAACTCATTTAGATTATTTTATATCATGTCTACACAGAAAGCCAAACAAGAAAATCCTTTTATTTCTGTTTTATTACAACCGTTATTTTCTTATGATATGAAACACAGATCGTCTTACAATCAACACCCAGCACAACTTCAGTGTTTTTAACTAATTACCACAGATATTATTACATTTTTATTAACCTTTCTGGATCATATTATGATTGTGACATAATTATTGGCATCATAACTGCTCTCAATATGAGAAAAGAAGGCTACATCACAATGGTATCATTATAAGAAATAAACCCTTATCATGCAGCAAAATCCAGCTTCTTTTATGGAAAACATTAACAGGTTTAATCTCTTGGGAAATGTTTACAGGTTTCTACTGTAGACTATATATAGATATATGACTGATATAATCCACCATCACATTATCTGTTGGTTCCTGAATGCTGCTTTTTGTTAGCTTTGTGTTTGGGTCATAGGTGAGTTGTTTTTTTGGTGTTTTTCTTTTTTTTTGGGGGGGGGGGGTTAAGCCAGAAGCATCTATACTTGACCAAGAGGAGAAAGTGCTATATTATCAACTAACACAGCTAGCTTGGTTAGCAAACTGTATCCATAAACTTGCCCATCCCTTGGCCACACAGGCCTAGAGACAATTCAGTAACCCACTTAGGGGCAGCCTCCAGTTGTTAGGAAAAAATGTGTGTTTCCTGACCAGTTTGCATGTGGTTGTTGGAAGTTGATGTTTTTGGTGAAATCAGTTGAAAAGAGTCTCCTTGGGTTTCAGTTGCTAGCAGACTGGCACAGTCATCCATAGTCTGCATGGACGACACCAACTTGTCTGCAAACACTTGCTAACTAATCACTGAGTAGTAGAGAAACCTGAAAAAAACCCAAATGAAGACTGTTCACCTTCAAAGTAAAAGTTGTTTCATATTGCAAAAACCAACATGGTTCAAAGGGGTGCAGGCTTTACTTTGAACGTGAATGGTCTCAGTTTCTGGTTTGCATCACACTCTTCAAAGTTTAGCAACAGTTTACAGAGAAGCCACCAAACTTTGGGCACTGCTGCAATCTACTAGTGGCCAATGTAAACACAAAATGTACCTTGCTGTGACCAATTTTACCTAGCAACAGCAGCCAAACTCTCACAACAACTGGTTGAATTTTTCACTTCTTGGTTGCTGAGAGGTCATGTAATTGACGCTTAAGTGGGATTAATATGAATTATAATTTTTCACCAAACAAAACCTTGCTGGAGCCATGTTATTTGTGAGATAGTTTTATTTCATTTCCCCAATTGCATCAACTTGAATTCGCTGAGGTGTGGCCTGGGACGCAACACCATGCTGTTGACACGCACCTGTCATTCAAAGATGCTGCACCCCAAAGTTTAAGATTTAACAGCATCCAAATGACTGAGTTATAAAAAAGAAGTCACCATCTGTGCAGTTTTTATAAAGAAAGAAACCATCAATAGATGATATGGAGACTGGCTCACTTTTGGAGTGAGCCTCAAGTGGCCATTAGAGGGACCGCTTAGGTGGTTTTTTTTGTTTTTGTTCTTTTTACATACGTGTGTCTTTTTTCCCCAAGGTTGCTGCTTGATTTTCCCGCAGGCTTGTATCCAAATAGACTCTTTTGTTTAGTTGAGTACTACATCTGTCAACCAAAGGAAGCATGAAGAACTAACATTACAGCTCAGCCGAGGCAGGACTTCATTAATGTCTTCATCTCGTCACAGCTGTCACAAGCATGATGCTTTTTTTCACGGGTAGATGCGCCCCTACGTCTTGTACTTCTGTAGTTAACTAGAAAGAAAATAGTTCCTCCAAGAAACTGTCCAACATAAGATTTGCTGATTGTTTTGGGGCCATGGATTTGGGCTAAGCTGTTCTTTTAATTAGATGCAGGTCATTCGGTGAAATCTGCTGAGGTTTTTTTTTGTTAGAGAGAGCAAGAGATCACTTCCTGGACAGAGTCGGTTGTGAGTGGCACTACACAACATTTCACCGCATGATCTCTTAAACCAAACTAATCAAATACGCTCCTTCAGCCTGTTCTTTATGCGTGTGTGTTGTTGCCAGACTGTCTGCATGTGTCACTGCCTCTAAGGAGCATGACGTATATGCATCATCCTCCTGAATTCACATCCTTCCCTTTTCATTTTGTCATTTTCTCATGAATTTCTTTCCTAAAATATCTCTTTTTGTGTGTTTCTGTCTCCCTTTGTTCTTCGTTTCTTTTTCTCTCAGTTGGAGCTGAAGCCGCAGGGACGCATGCTCATGGAGGCTAGATATTATCTGGAGAAAAGTGGTGAGTGGATCAGACCTTCAAACCTCAGCTTGCTGCCCCTCGGTAGTTATTTACTGAATTCGCAGCCAAATAAGAAGAACTGCCTCACAAAAGTCTGATAAAATTGCAGCGAGAGCCACTTGTTCTTATGTGGTTTACATAATTGTCTCTGGCACACACACAGTGCTGTATCTCAGGAAGCAGCCTAACAGCAACTCCTCTGGTGTTGTGCACTAACAAGACAGGACAGAGAAACCAGAAGCACAAAGGACGAGCTTTAGAAGTGTTGCCTAGTATTGTCGCCTGTGGGTTTAATGCTTAAACTCAGATTTACATGTGACGTGGTTCGACTGTGTAGAAAGATTTAAACACGGGAAGAAAAACCATTTCAGCCCTTAAAGTCCAGGGATTTCAAAATCTGACTAATCTATAAGTGATGCGAAACATCTCATCCTCACCCCTGGGGCAATTAGTGCCCGTTTGTCAAAACCGCTAGTGTGGTTTGTTTACACAACCTGTCCTTAAGCGTCTGCCCCGACACGCTGGATTATATCAGTTGTGGTGGGTATGGTCACTACTAGCTCATCTTTTGTCAGTAAGCGGGGTGTGAAGAGACCAATTTTAAATTGTGACCTTTTCCTGACTCTAGTTTTTAGTTTCTGAATCTAACAGGTGAGTGGAAGCAAAAAAGGTTTTACATAGTCAGTCGTCTGTCGTTACAGAGACAGTGTGTTCAAACTGCGTGCCAACTAATGACTTAACAGGCTCAGTGCTTATAGATGCCCACATCTGTATTATGCAGGGTTTAAAATGGGAATCCCTTCAAATCATGGTTAATTATAGCTAATAAGCAACCTAGTGCATGAAATTAATGGCATCTCAGGACCGCTTACATGTAAAGGTCATGGTTTGTGTTATCCCTGTGATGCCTTCATAGTGGAGAGGCAAGATTGTGGTCGCAGTATCAAAGAATCTCACTAGTGGCAGAAGAAGCAGAGCCGTGAGCATTAATGGAGTTTGCGACTTTTCAAACAGCTCAACAAATATCAGCCGATAAACTGTTTTTGTGCAGTTTTCCACACAGCAATGTGTCTGTAAGCTAAAGACAGCGATGCTTTACTTCCTAGAGAGAGAGAAAAAATTAATGTGCAACACTGAAGGAAGGAAAAGTATATAAGAAAGAGAGGAAGGAAGAGTAAGATACAAGATTATTTTCAGAAATGAGGACTGCTCAGCAAGTGAAAGTTTATAAATGGGAAATGTAAATCCTGCATGATTGATGGAGACCGTACCAGATTTAAATACTGAGATACTGGATGTATTAATCATGTGCTGCTGAATTTTGTTTTCATTAAAAAATAGAAGTTTCTTGCAGAAGAAGTTCTATTCTACTATTTTTTTGTTATTCAGTGGTTGCATGGAAACTGTTTAGCGCACGCTACACGTGTTAGTTTGTGGTATTGTGGTAAAGTTTGCAGTGATGCACTATGTTGGACTGGTTACATTAAGGGTAGCAGACGTCAAGCTGTATTTAAGCTGATTAGATTCAGTCTCTGAACTCTACAGTTTATACAGTCTTGTGCAAACTTTTTGAGCCACCCCTCATTTCTTGATCTTTTCCAACAAGCCAAACTTTTTTGTGATTTTTTTTATATTGTTTTGAGTGATTGATCTGTAGTATTTCTGAAGGTCTTCCAAAGTTGGTCTTTAGCTACTTTTTCACTCTTTTTCAGTCCAATCCTTGTAACTTGATCATGCAGTACCACCTGAAAAGTGTCTGATCAGCTTGACAATAGTCCCTAACACACTGCCAATGCAGTAAAAACACACCTGCATTAAAAAAAACTTGTTGACGCTTGTTAACATTTTAAAAACTGTTTTCCTATTACACTGTGTTGCCGTGTAGGTTTACACACATTTCAGTAAATCTCTACACCTATTTCCCGTTTTCATAGCAAAATATACAAAATGAAAGATGGCTCCAGACTGCTGCACGAGCTCACTCGTCTCTATGGGCTGGAAATCAGCCATATAGCTTCTGTAACATCTGCTTATATCTTGTTGAATTCAGTTGGTTATATCCACAAAGAGCATTGAGCTTGGGTGTAGCATCACAGAACAGCTGATGACAGTCTGTACAGACTGTTAATGTACCCCCACCTGCCAAATCCCAGTCTAAAACCACACCGTTCCTTCTATGATCCACGAGGAAGAATAACAACAAAATCAAATCATTTTAACTTGTTACCCTGAAAAATATCTATTATTTTGAAAACCAAAAGTTAATTGCATATTTTTTCCATTCATGTCAGCATTATTCTGTAATTAACCACAACAAAAAGCAAGGAAAGTGGAAAACAAAGGGTGCCTGTGGGACACGAGACAACGTCTCCTGGCTATTAAACCTGTAAATTACGCCTCTGTCAGCTGTGTAGGTCTCTAAAAAGGGACAGTTACCGTTTACCGGCTGTTGTGTGTGTCAGAGCACCAACTTTTGTATAAAAAAAGTGACAGGTAAGTTTGATCATGAAAGACCTAAAAGGAGCCCGATATCAGAAAAAACTCACCTTTTTAGTCTTTGCTTGTCTGAATGTAAGAGTGACGTGATAATATAAAATTAGAAACGATGAGAATGATCATTTCAAAATATACTGAATTCACAGAGAGCCTTCTTGCATTATTGTGAAATTCTCACCTGGTCCCTCTTTATGTGCTCCTCAGAGTTGATCAGCTTCACTTCTAGAATTATGCACATAGGTCCGCTAAACTTTAATATGCACTAAATTAGTATTTATTTGAAGGTTTTTATGAGTAAATAGGCAGGTGTGTTAAAAATACAGAAACCAGTTGTTTTATGTTTTGTTGTTTTAACTTCTGTCTTACCCTGTTTTTCCCTTTCTATTCTCAGTATTAATGAGATTCCTGTATAAATGCCGAAAGTGGCGTGCTCATCACTTTTGTGCGGCCAGACAAGTAGCTGGCAGCCAGCTACTGTGTCCTAGAGGATTATTAATAATCAAGTAGGTGTAAAAATACAGAAAAGTGACTGTGAATGTTCATTGTCGAAGGCGCACCCGTAAGTGTCTCATCATAATTAGATTTTCTTAAGCTAAAAGTAAGAGTTTTGACCGTCTGCCCCCTGCTGGCTGTAAGCTGGTTGTGCGGGCGCTTTGTGCTTTCACTGGTTCCTTCCTGACATTAACACCATGCCAAGCACTGAGACTCAGAAGTAAGAAGCTGTCTCGTGTGTCTGTAAATATAGACCAAGCAAACAGGAAATCACTGCCGGGAACAACAGGTGGCATAGTGATGGGTACACTTCCTCCAACGAGCAAACACATACTGGTGTCTTCCTGTCTCTAACTGAAGGATAATGATAGAAATTTAACATTTTGAGCTGATTCAAAGTCACATGCAGTGTTTAAAGCAGTTTTAAAGGAATAATTCAACATTTTAGGATCATTTTCTGCATGTTTGCTCTCTTAGAACACATGAAAGTCATACTGAGCTTTGGTCAGTCAGTTTTTAGTCATACATGATGACTGTGCTTGATCTAATACCAAACACTATGATGGGTGATGACAGTAGAAACTGCAACACAAGCTGAGTGGAAAAGACAACAGAGGTCCCAACAGATCATCGATTACAAAGCAAAAAAAATAACAGATTTATTGATAACAAAGAAATTAATGCACATTTTTTGTTTTTTTAATCCAACAACAATTTTATTTGCAACTAATTTGCTCACTCATTGACTGTTAATACAGTGTCCTGTCCATGTGCACAGACTGATCACCAGAACCAGCTTTTTAAATATAAGCAACAGTTTGAAGCCATTTACTCTGAGAAACGCATCTCAGAGGAGGACGTTTGTAACTCTTCCCTCGACGAATGTTTTCTGTAACACATTTTTTTTTTTTGTAATCGCTAAAAAGATTTAAAAGAATTCTTAAACATGAAATGTATTCCCTGGAAACAATGTCCAGCCCGCTTCTCCGATGTTGTTAATAAAAACTAAAGTAAAGATTAACTGGACAATAAACAAACACTCACAAACTGAGCACCGAGCAGCAGTGAAACTTGAACAAGACACAAATCAGAAACAGAACGTGTTTGGCTCACAGCGACCAGCATGCTTCAAAAAATGCAAATGTAGGTGAAAGGTCCAGCTTGCATTGCACTTTTCACACCTTGACTAGCATTTAGTGGAGTAGTGGTCAGGTGCATGCCGGCAAGTCAGCATCTTGCACGCAAACTTCAGGTGACCACAGACGGCTGCTAGCTAACCAAACCAAGTCTTTTCCTGACCCAAACCCAAAAGTTAGTTTGCAAACAACAACCGGTGTAAACCGTACACATAAAGTCCACAATCTGCATTCACAAGCTACTAAAACAGCTGTTCCTACTCAGCTGTTCTTAAACACAAATTGTATAATCAGTCAACTGAGGTGAAATTTTAAAAAATTCAACATGAAATTAATTTTCAACCAAAGCTAATGTCAACTCAGATAGGTGAGGCTGTCTGCTGTGGCGACCCCTTGTAACATGTGTGTAAGTGAAAGAAGCTTTAATGAAAGAAATCTAGGCTTTTAATGCTGAAAAGGAAAGATTTATTTTCAACATAAAATCTGCTGTTAGTAAGAAACACATCTCAGGAGGTGAGAAATTGAAACTTTGCTGTGAAATCCTGTGTTCTTAGCGGCGTCTCACCACTCTGTCCACAGAAGCCGAATAAAACTGTACCTTTTTCCATTGTTTTGTTTTTCTTCTTTGAAATTAAAGTTGTAATACGTGTTTCAGATGCTGTGGGTCACACAGACGGAGACCCGGAGTCCGAGCGTGAGAGAGAGGGTCTGTTCACCCTCCACCAGCGACGCGGCGCCATAAAGCAGGCCAAAGTTCACGTGGTCAAGTGTCACGAGTTCAGCGCGACGTTCTTTCCTCAGCCAACCTTCTGCTCTGTATGCAAAGAGTTTGTTTGGTATGCAAAAGACCAAGAAGTCACAAATCTTCACATTAGTCTTGTTTTTTTCCCAATCGCATCAGTCATTTCATCTCTCTTTCTTTCCACTGCAGGGGTCTTAACAAGCAGGGTTACCAGTGCAGACGTGAGTGTCGGTTCATTGTCCTGTAATCTACCAATTAGCCTTCGTAACTCTTCCTCACGTGGTTATTCTCTGTCTTTTAGAGTGCAATGCAGCAATCCACAAAAAATGCATAGACAAAGTTATCGCCAAATGCACTGGTTCAGCCATAAACAGCAAGGAAACAATGGTGAGTGTCTGCTTCACATGATTTGCTTCATGACGCTGCACATCTCTTCCAGTCCGACAAAAATTCCACAAGTGGTGACACAGAGCGAAGTGTGTGAGCTGATGGTTCTGATGCTTACTAATGAAAGAGTTGCTTTGTGCCAAGGTATCACCACACCAGGCGCTCCGGTCTCATGTCATCTTCTTCCCCTCGTTTCACTTCTCCTCAGCTCCATGTCAGCGAGAGTTCATGTGTACGAAAGCATGAGAGAATTTAACGCCAATAAATAAATCTCGCCGTTTACATATGAGAGGTGTTTGGTTACTGACGCCTTCTGTGTCAATCTGTGTGCGATGTGTTTTTAGATCCACAAGGAGCGCTTCAAGATCGACATGCCTCACAGGTTTAAAGTCTACAACTACAAAAGTCCCACCTTCTGCGAGCACTGCGGGACTCTGCTGTGGGGGCTCGCCAAGCAGGGGCTCAAATGTGAGGGTGAGAGGCGGGAGTTTTTTGTTTTGGTTTGTTTGTTTTGTGTGATTTTATACTTTTTTTTAATGTCTGCAGGGTAAGACAAAACACAGCAGTGACATCACAGACATAAAGCCACAAATACAGTGTCATAACAGAAATTTTTCATAACGCAACACTACGCCATTAAATTTATTTCTAGCTCAGTTTAGGAACTGAAAGGTCCTGGTTTAAGAGTTAAGGAAAACTGATGCTGGCGTACTGTTAAAGACTAAGACTGATGGTCGTTTAAGAGTTGAGCCTCTACTCCTCCACATCAAAAGGAGCCAGTTGAGGTGGTTCAAGCGTCTGGCCAGGGTGCCTCCTGTTCCCCTCCTACGTGAGGCGTTTCAGGAATGTTATACTGGGAAGAGACCCTGCAGCGGTCCAGGACACGGTCAGGCTGGTTTGGGAATGTGTCAGTGTCTCCCCCTGGAAGAATTTAAGGCAGCCTGGACTTGGTTGCATGGATGGATCATTCAAAATAAAGCACTATAGCTCAGCTGAGTCTAGAGGACTCATTGCTCTGGCAATGCCCTGCTCCAGCATCCTAATGGTACGATCTCGGTCAGTTTGGCCCAGTCATGGCATTCTTACAGATGTCATTTCCTCCAAACTTCTTGTGCTTCGTTATACAGTTGAGTGTGTTTGACAGAGGAGTGGTTATGTGGGATTAGTTGGATGAAGGTATTTTGACTTCTTTACCAAAAATTGTGTTTTCAGACACAAGACTAAGTGACAAAAAGCAAATTAAAATGGCACAGTTTTGACTGAAGTTACAAGCTCTGTGGTATTCAGTCTTTTAATTCTTCACTCTAAAATTAGTCCCGTTTTTCTGGGAGCTGCCTTTCAGCACAGTTGATCAGATACCGCCGAGCAGCAGGGAAACCCCTTTGCCAAAAGATTAAATGTTCTAGACAACATTATGCAGATATCTGTGGGTTTTAAATGGCTTACGCTGCATTGCAAATGTTTCCTTATTTTGGACTTTTAAGGCCCGAATCATCGAGGAAGAAAGAGTCATTCGTCAAAGAATTTTGCAGCAGTGGCTTTCACAGGTTACCACGAAAGGGTTTCTTGGTTCGGCACAGCTATATTACTCCTTCACAACACCATCAACACACTCTGAAACACATGCAGCAAGCAAACTATGGAGCTCCCTTACCTTGATCTGAAAAATTCAACTTGACAAAATTTGATAAAACATGGTTTTATCAAATTTATGGGTTTATGGGTTTACCAGCCACAGCTACACCTGCAAGCAAAGGTATGCAACTTCTAAAATGTTCCTTTCCGTTAGGCAGGGATATGATCATTTAATCCACAGCATTACTCAATATATTTCCAGTAGCTGAGACAACAGTGGGCGTTCAAACCTTTCCCAGCATAAATATGCGCTGCATGTGTTGGCCTGTTGAACAGAAACACAGCGCAGCTGCCACAGCAGGTGCAAAGTATAAAGTTCTCCCTGTGAAATTAATCATATTTCCAGTACAAGCCAGCTGACTGAGGGGTTAGGAATGGGAAACATTATTATTGTAGATGTGTGAGAGTTTGCTAAGAAACAGCACAGTTATATAAGGAACATGTGCAAACATTAAAGAACGTGTGGCATGAAAAAAAGGTATCAAGTGAAAAAGAAATTGGACTCTTTAGCAACATTTTTACATATAAGTGCATTTTTCTGTCATTGTCATTATAAATTTTAATATTGCCCCATTCTGAAGTAAAAGCTGATACATTACCTTTTGCATAACTAATAATAGTGTAAATATTGCCATCTTGCACTGCTTTAAATGTTCTTTATGTGTTCAACTGAGTTTACATTGTGTTTGATGTTGTGCAGAATGCAGCATGAACGTCCATCATAAATGCCAAAAGAAAGTGGCTAACCTCTGCGGGGTCAACCAGAAACTGATGGCTGAAGCTCTGGCAGTCATCGAGAGCAAGCAGCAGGTGAGCCCAACAAACCTTCAGTACATGAAGCTGTGCAGTCTTTCAGAAATGCCTTCAACCAGTTCAACTGTTTCCTCGTTTTTATGCTGCTTTTAGTGACTTAAACACCTCTTAAAAGGGACGTGTTCTCCTCAGTTCCAGCTGAGTAACTTGGCATGATTAAATAATCTGATTTATCTGATACTGAGTTTTGGTGATGCACCTTAATTCATCCTTGATTAGAAGTTTTAACTTCTCCTCCTTTAAGCCAACTTTCTGATTGCTCCTTGCAAAGAGAAGACTTGAATAGCACGAGATATTCCATCTCTGTGACATCATGCACCTCTAACAGGATGACTTCATTATATGAAACTTTGTTTAATGAGAAGATCTAACATAAGACTGTGTAACACTAGATAACATAAGAAAAAGTAAAGCAAATAAGAGAACATAATTGTCCCCTTTAATACTATTAATTAAGGAATATTTTACTGTGGAAAACTTCATTTTGAAACTGGATCTACCTTTTGCTTTAAGGCGAGAACTACCAGAGACAGTGACATTATTGGTCGGGAAGGTCCAGTAAGTGTTGCCCAGCTGGGAGTGGTGCGAGCACCATCCGGGCTAGTTATGGGTTTACCAGCCACAGCTACACCTGCAAGCAAAGGTATGCAACTTCTAAAATGTTCCTTTCCGTTAGGCAGGGATACATACTGCATACTTTATGTCATTTGTGTTTCTCAACCTGCTTCTTGTAGCAGATTATCAGGGTGTTTCATGGGAGGGACCAGGAGATGTCAGCAGGTCGGTCAGCGAGGTGCTTCCAGAAGAGCCTCTGTACGCTGTCCCGAGGAAAGATCACCAACCCAAATTTACCATCGATGACTTCACCCTGCACAAGATGCTCGGGAAAGGCAGCTTTGGCAAGGTAGCAGAGGCGACCTGATTCAAAAGAGGAAAAGTAAAGCACGGAGCAGAGCGTGCATGAAGATGTGGCATCTTTGTCATGTTACTTTATATATCAACATATTAACAAGAGCATTCAAAGTTGCACAACTCCCCCGAAGGGCAATGGCTGTAGAAAAACCTTTTATTACAACATGCAGATGTCTGATCTTTGACCTATGACCTTGGAGCATTACATACTAAAATGGTGTATTATCTTTACCCATATAAGTGGAGCAGAATTTGCTGAAATCATCTACAAGCGTGAGGTTTTAAGATATTTTGGTGCAGTGTGTGAATTTGTGAACTTTATGGCATTATTGTGACATCATAGGGCGTCGTATTAAAATGTAAAATTTGTTTTACAGCTCTCCACATGTTCTTTCATATGATATATTACTTGACATGGTTTAAAGTTTTCACTGACATTCACATTTGGTGTGATCTTGACCTTTTCATCAAAACTGAATGTGCCCGAGCTGTTTTTGGTATCTACCATCACAAAAAAATTAAACATGATATCTTGAAAACTGTGGATGCTTAACTGCTAACAAAGAGACAAACAAACAGAAGTGATTACACACTCCCTTCCCTTAAAAACTGCATGCAACAAAAACTAATTATTACCCTTTTCTTAGTGGAATTTCTATAAGAACACAGTGGGGAGGGGGCGTTTTCTGCAAATGTGTCAAAGCATCATATTTTAGTCACTCTTGCCAGCAGCTGCACACAGCACGGAGGGCTTTACACAGCACTCTGAGGCTTGTGGTCAAATGTGTTGTGCAGCCAGTTTCCACTGAAAACCACCTACTTCTTGTTACTTCAAAGTCTTGCAACACAAAGAGCTAGCTATGGTAAATGACTGGGCAACAGGCTACAACTCTATATGTCCAAACTAAACCTGTTTTTTAAAGCTTTTTATTTGTCCTTCGTCTTCTCCAGGTGTTTCTAGCAGAGCTGAAAAGGAGCGGTGAATTTTTTGCAGTAAAAGCTCTGAAGAAAGACGTGGTGCTGATGGATGATGATGTTGAGTGCACCATGGTAGAGAGGAGGGTTTTGTCTCTAGCCTGGGAAAATCCCTTCCTTACACATCTTTACTGCACCTTCCAAACTAAGGTGATGACCCATGTACACTTGCACAGTCATTGCATGCAAGTAGGTAGCCACTGAAAATAATTCTCTGGAAACAAATATAGCCCTGACCTCTGTGTTTTCACATCCAGGAAAACCTGTTCTTCGTCATGGAGTATCTGAATGGAGGGGATCTTATGTTCCACATCCAAAACTGCCACAAGTTTGACTTGCACAGAGCCACGTGAGTCAAAAGACGCAGCTCTCACAGTGACACACGACTGTAGTTTTGCACTGTTTGGGTCTGGATGTAACCGCCAGGTTTGAAAAGTGCCTTCACTGCAGATGTGCCTTTAACCTGCATGATTAATCATTACCAGCATGGGGGCAAAAAAACATCAATATACCTCAGTAAACTATTTTCTAATTGAGTTTTTGGTTTCCATCACTAGTTTCACATCATATTTAATCGAAAAATGACACTCATTTAGCAAATTACAGTCCAACTTAGTGGAAAATAGACAACAAAGCAAGAGTCGATTGACCCCTGAATACACCCGACGCCACATTTGTAAGCATCCCAGAAGCTGCTACACAGAGTAGGCGACGGGGGCAGGAAGTCCGATATAAAAGCAGCATGGAGAATGTGGTCAATTTTCAAAATAAAATACCCAACGCAGACTAAATGTTCTGCTTCTGACATGCCTGTGGTGTGACTTGATGCAGGACTGAGACATGCGTCAGACAAACATCTGGTGTACTTCAGTGGTTAGAGTGCGTCTAACCACTGAAGTACAAGTAACCACTTGGGATTGAGAAATCGCTACCAAATGGCCGTGCATTGTCCTTGGTTTCTTGGTCTTGTTTTCTTGTTCGTCACATTAGGTTTTAATAGATCTAATCTCTATAAACATATTATCTGCAGTTATCTATAGATTGCCAGTGGTTTTCATTTTTAGTGCAAATTCTACATTTTAGCATCCTTTAGTTACACGTGGGTAAATAGTCTGTGTAGAGAGCAAATAAAGGGGCTTACAGATATACAATCTGGAAGCCACCGGTTATTTTTGTTTTAAATCTATCTGCATTAGTAAAGCATGGCTATCAGTCCTGGAAAAATGACTACGCCAGCAGCTAAGGCCCCCCTCGGGCTTCAAACTTACAGTCTCTTATGGGGATTTTTATGGTGCTCATGTTAATTTCTATATACAGTCGACATGTGATCCTTATTTCTGTGACATAATTGTCTTTTAAGTTTGTTGATTTTTTTGGTTTGTCTATTTCAGAATTTCAACTAGATTGACCTAGTTTGGTCTAAATCTGATCACTCCTGTGAATTTTATCCTCTCTTCTCACATACATCTGTGTCTCCTTACAGCTTCTATGCAGCTGAGATCATCTGTGGGCTCCAGTTTCTGCACTCTAAAGGAATTATTTACAGGTAGGCGCTCAGTGAGAGCCAGAAACAGGACTGGAATTCATGACATGTAATATATAGCACACGAGGAATCATTTTCTTGCACCTCTGCAGAGATCTGAAACTGGACAACGTGCTGCTGGACTTAGATGGTCATATAAAGATAGCAGACTTTGGCATGTGTAAGGAGAACATGCAGGATGACGTACGGACCTCCACCTTCTGCGGGACCCCAGACTACATCGCCCCAGAGGTGACATCTTTTGCATGCTGTAGTAATGTAAATGTTGTAATAAACTGGTATCCTTTCGAATAAAAGGATCAATCAACAACACCTGGCCACCAAGTGATACGCATAAAGGTCTAAATTCTAGAGACGTTTCAAAGAGGGCTTTTGATGCTAGGTCTGTACATTTATATTTGGACTCTGTTAGAGTAGCTTTTCTTATACAGGCTATTGTGCAGCCAATGACTGAAATACGCCTCTAAGCTGCCCCTTTAAAATAACAAGTTAAACCACATTTTAAAATATTAAAGAGTAGAAAAAACTGTAAGCTGATAATCTAGGACAGAGGTGTCAAACATACGGCCCCAGGGACCAGAATCAGCCACAAAAAGATTAAATCCAGCTCACTAGACAGTTTCGGAAAATGTGAATGAGCACATGCATTTTGGACTTTTAACAGTATTTGCAAGTTTTACAGATTTTCCTGCTGATAAAGACCTCCCCCCCCCCCACTTCTCCAGCGTAACAAAGCAATAGATCAACAAAAAAAACATTTTTACCACAATCATCTTATTATTATTATTATTTTTATTATTATTATTATTATTATTACAGGATATTCTGGGCAGTGAGCTACTTTTTCTGCAGTTTTACACATTATTTAATTACAAATCAGTCCCAAAAAGTCGTGCTGACAGATACTGCAGCATTTCTCTGTCATATAGAAAAAACTGAGATATACTAAAATTACACTTCTTTTTTATATACATAGATATCTAAGGCAATTAGTGTGTGGTTAGACTTATTTACACAGACAGAAAAGGGGAGTTTCCTTGGTCTAGCCCGCTTAAAGATCACAGTGGGCTGTCTGTGACCAAGGATGTAAAATTAGTTTGACATCTAGAGCAATCTGAAACCCAAGATCTGACTGATAAGGACTTATTTTCAAACGTTATTGACCTCATTCTTTAAAACTCTGGCCATTTAAATGTGAACATCTGCCACTGTAACAGTACGCGCATGAGAGAAAATAAGAAAAACCCACACTTTAACTTGTTCATTTTACCAGTTTGTGTGATCTTTATGTATCAGATCCTGCTGGGTCAGAAGTACAACAGCTCTGTGGACTGGTGGTCATTCGGAGTGCTGCTGTACGAGATGCTGATCGGTCAGTCTCCGTTCCACGGCCGCGATGAAGAGGAGCTGTTTCAGTCCATACGGACAGACACCCCCATTTATCCCAACTGGCTCAGCAAAGCTGCAAAGGACATACTCATCAAGGTCAGACAAGTGCTTCAGTGGCCAGTTTAAATAAGATCAAGCAGGAAGAAAAGAAAGCAAGGATCTGGTCTTTAAATTGATGAAACTGATTCTTACTGTTTCCTACGGAGCCCCGCAGGGGACATGGGAGAAAAAAAATTAAGACGGACTTTTGCGAGATCTCGCAAAAGTTTTGCGAGATCTCACAAAACAAACTCGGGATCTCGCAAAAGTTTTGCGAGAGTTTTGCGAGATCTCGCAAAACTTTTAGCCGCATTCTTCGGATGCCGGCTTGAAGCCGACCGGGAGGTCGAGGCACGATGTGCCGGGAAAGCGGTGTTCCTCCCGGCTGTGGTGGGTCTTGACCTCCCGTTAGCTTCGAGCTAACGGGAAGAATGCGGCTAAAACTTTTGCGAGATCCCGAGTTTGTTTTGCGAGATCCCGAGTTTGTTTTGCGAGATCCCGAGTTTGTTTTGCGAGATCTCGCAAAACTTTTGCGAGATCCCGAGATAGTTTTGCGAGATCTCACAAAAGTCCGTCTTAATTTTTTTTCTCCCATGTCCCCTGCGGGGCTCCGTAGTTTCCTGTATGTTCATTAAATGCATACATATAGCTCTCGGGGCCCTATGGCTAAACCTCTGTGCGTTTGTTCCTCAGCTGTTTGTGAGGGAACCTGAGGAGCGGCTGGGAACCAAAGGCAACATCAGACATCACAGTTTCTTCAGCAGCACAGACTGGAACGCCTTAGAGCAACGGCAGGTGCCGGCACCCTTCACACCAACTATAGTAAGTACAACAGGGAACCACTTACTCAACATATCCACTAATTTTCTCAGTTAAAAACTGGTAGCTAGTAAAAGCTGTTTGGCTAATACGGCCGACGGGTGAAAGTAAATATCATCTAGAAAGTTGTCGACACAGTAATTGACTATAGTGGCTATTTTCAAACTTCAGACTGCTGTGCGTGTTTGCAGACTGGAGTCTGCATCGAGAGCCTTAGTGTCCTTACTTTAAGTTTGTTCGCAGCCCATTTGGGGACCACGGCCCAGCCTTTGAAAATCACTGTACTCCAGTATTTACTTGTTAATCTACTCGCTGGTGTATGAAATATTGCATGTAATTAAATATTTGCCCTTCATCCTCGCAGACCTCACCCAGCGACTGCAGTAATTTCGACAAAGAGTTTATCAACGAGAAGCCCAGACTATCGTGTGCCGACCGCACGCTTATCAACAGCGTAGACCAGACGATGTTCAGAAACTTCTCCTTCGTTAATCCTGGCATGGTTCGGATCGCAGCACGCTGACCACCGGACAAAAAATGGCTACAATCTACAAACAGGCTGCTCAGTCACAACCAGCAGTGACTGTAACTGGAACCTACTGTAGAACCCGAATGTGGCAAAACTCACATACATGATGATGCTTTGCTAACCACTAAAGGGGTATAAACCGATACAACCAAACTGTGACCGGATCTTTAAATTTCACACAAATACCTTTAAAATGTACCTGTAGTCAACTTTGATACTTTAGAGTTTAGTTGACTAAAGGCATACATTTCCTTACAGTGTTATTCTAACAGCATGGTTTGGTTTTATTCTGTTATAAAACTATTCACACATTGCACACTTGTGCAAATATGTGCAAATATTCAATAAAAAAAAAGAAAGAAAGAGAGAAAGTGTACATCTTCCATGTCTCGAGGCATGTACTGTGAAGCTAGATTTGGGACTTAGCGAGGTAACTTCAGGCTTAAGTCTAGTTTATATGGAGTCAGGAAGCCAGTTCTCATCTTACCAAAGCCAGATGATACAAACCTAACCTGCTCCGGAGCATGTTACACTTGGGACTCATCACTTCCTGAAAAAAAGCACCACTATTTCTGGAAGAGCCCTCGTACTAATTATTTTTACTCATATTTCTTGTCTTTCCACGACGAGCATCAATAAGAAAACCAGATCTTGAGGAACAATTTCATTCCTGCTTTTTTCTGCAAGCAATAGCGCACTAAATCCCTGTACTTACCGGCAGCTAAAGCTCGCTGAGGGAAAAATATGTAATCTCCAACCAACTGGGGAGGGGCTGCTTTGTGAATTTGGTTGCAAAGGTGTTGGATCAGAAATCTCCCTCTCGTTCTTTGTTCATCCGTAGTTTGCACTGAAGATGCTAACTTGTCTCCAAATGCTCAATGAGTGACATTGCACCTTAAACGTGTAACTTTTACTTTGAAGCAGAACTGTTTATATCACCCTTTTCAGAGAGTTTGTAGGTAAGTTGGTGTCCTTTATGCTAACTGGCAACAGTAATTACAAGGTTTTTAATGCAACACCCTGTACCTCATTGCAACCACTTTCACCAGCCAGCAACTTCCAGCAAACCATCGCCAACTGGTCAGGGAATACATTTTTACCGAGTGACCTGTGGTTGCCGTGGGTGATGCTGACTGACCTCTAAGCCTGCCGGACTGAGGCCTAATTAATTCAGTCCGTTGGCCAGTAAACTGGGTTTATTAACCTTCAAGTGATTGTAAAGTCCAGCCGGATATTTATGTGCCATTGAGATTTTTTTAAATCTAAAAAATGTGTCCTACCGTGAATGATCTTCTCCTACAATTTTTCATATTTGTTTTTTTTTCCCCAACCTGAAATGGTAAGGATGAAAGTTGTATGGAAATATGTTTTGTTTAAAAAAACAAAACAAAAACATTATAGGCTTAATTTTATTGTAATTTTCAACTTTTAATTACTGCACGGTGATGTTTTGCCAACAGACCTAGAGCAGCAAGATTAACATCTTTTTGCACACAAATTATTTCATAATTAATTACATTGGAACATTTTAATACATCTATTGTTGGTAACTTAAACAGGGTAAATAGTAATAAGTAGAGCCTTTAACTCTCCAGACTTTTCTAACAGTATATTTTATTCTTCCTTAATAAATGGAAGAGTAAAAAAATAAATAAATGGAGTTTTGCTGCTGGTATAATGATCTTTTCAACTTTTTCAAAGTGGTAGATCTGTCCACATGTGTCATTGGTCATATGCTGTCCTGTGAAGATGCTAATAGCTACCTTGGGAAACCCTGAGTGGGCTTATCCAGTTTATAATTACCTTCGATTGCAGTGTTATTGTAAATGAAGATACGGTAAGCTGAAGTTATTCGGTAGTACAGGCCTCCTACTTAATGGGCTGTGTGTTTAAATAGAAAATGTGCTTGTAGTGATTTTATGGTGCCTCAGAATAGTTTAATGAAGTTAACGTCTTCAAGTAAAGTAAACTGAGAAAGTCGCTTTAACCAAATGGAAACTTAGTTTTCTTGTCCTGTTCCTTTTTATGTAAATAAATGATATAGTCCATCTGATATGCTGTGTTGTTACTTGGTTGTAGATCTGTTAATGTACTGAGGTTTAATAACTGGGTTATTGTTTACATGTGTTTTCCTGTTGTATCTCAGGAGTTTTGTTTTAATGATGAGCTACTCCCTGCATACTGTAGTTTTGATGTTCTCCTCATTGTGAATTCTGTTCATTAAAGTGTGCACATTGTGGGCTTTTTTTTTTTTTAATGTGTTTGTTTCGGTGAGGGACAACATGAAACTGCTCGGTCGTGTAGCGTTACATCAGAATGACAGAGACCAGAGGTGGAGGTGTTAACAAAAATAGCCATCTCAGTTTTTCCACTTAATTTGAAACTTTACCATCTTTTCCACTGTTACAGACATTTACTCAACTGATGGCTGAATTATTTTAGCACTCAGTGTTAAATATAGACTACCTAAGAAAGAATGTCAGAGGCTCTTTTTTTCCATTAAGGTGCTACGGATGGCCCAGATGTAGGACTGACAGCCAAACAAATAATCGAAAACAAACCTTTAATTAAGTGTAGTAGTCCGAGTGAAACAACATCCAAACTTTAGAATATGTTTCTAAACAGACAAGGAACAGACAGACACTGACAAAAACTGAAGGAACACTAAAGCTTTAAATACACATGAAGTGATAGAAAACACCAGGGAAACAAGACACAGCTGAAACTAATTAGGACAAGACAAGGAAGCAAAACTAAATGCAAGGCACAAAAGACAACTATTAAAATAAAGCAGGAAATGAAGAACAACCACACTGAAACAAGTATTCACGACGCATACAAGAACTGAACAGAAGGGGAAAAGACAGACTAATAACGCCACAAATGTAAAACATGACAAGTACTAAAGCCTCATAATGCTCAGGAATGAATGAAAACCAAAAATCCAAATCATAAACAACACAAAGAAGGAAATACAAAACAAGGATTAAATCTGGGAACCGTGACATAATGTTAACATGTTGAGAAAAGTGATAGTACTAATATTTATTATCACACTGTTTACCTGCAAAAACAGGAAAATATCCTTCACATTAAAACAAACTTAGGATTCCACCAATGCATCACCAGTCAAGCCCCAAGTTTGACATGACTTTCAAACTTATAGCTTTACTTTCCAATTTTAAACTTTATTCCCAAAGTTTTGGCTTTACCCTCAAAGAAAAGTATTTTAATTTTTCTTCAAAATTTCCACTTTAGACTTTATCACTTTGTCATGGTACTGGGCCGGTGACCCAGCGTTTTGTGTTTCGTTTTAGTAACATCTTCTGTTTTATGCCGATTCTTATTTTGTATTAGTTCTTAGTGTTTTAGTGTTCTCCCTTCTGTGCTTTGTTCGTGTCTCTGAGTTTGTTTGTAAAACTGTTTGTGAGTTTCCTGTTTTACTTTGAAGGTCTGTGTCTCGTCGTGTTTAATTGGGTTCAGCTGTGTTCCCCTCTGGTGTGTGATTCCCTCATTACCTTGTGTGTATTTATAGTGTGTGCCTGCCTGTGTTCCTCGTCGGTTCCTCTGTGTTATTCTGTGTAACTTGGTGACAGTCCGTCTCTCTGGTCTTCAGTCTCTACTCCTCATCCCCTGTGTTACCTCCATATGTTTTTCCCAGCGTTTTATTCTGTGAGTTATGGTTTCGGGTTTTGTTTGTTACTAGCTTTCCCAGTTTAGTTTATGTCTAGCTTGTTCCTCATTTCCTGTTTGCCACTTGCCACACTGTAAAGAAATTTCACTCGCATTACCGCCGCTGTCTGCAACTTGGGTCCTCCTTCAAACTGCTGCCCGAGCCTGAAATTTTTAATACCGACGCCTAACATTCCAGGTTCCTCAATTTTTAAAAATATTTAAAATAAAATGAAAATGACAAAGGAAAAAAAACATTCGGATATTTTGTTAAACTCAATATTCTCAAAATGTAAAATGATTTTTTTCCTGCTATATACAATACTCCTTCAAACATACCAGCGTACTGCTGCTTTAACAATTATGGATTTGAGATCCCTGATACCAATCTTGGTTTGAATATATTGACAAATAATCTGAATATGCATGAGTAACACAACATTTGGGAGGGACAGGGTTAAGATTTACGCTGACCTTGCAAAAAGATTGGGTTGTTGTTTACTTGGCAACATGAAGGGGCTCTGTCTGCTCAGGGAGGATGACACTATTCTACATGGGATACAAGCAATATTTGGACTGGGGTCAGGTCGCCCTCTGCTGGAAAACCAATCACATTAGGGATGCTCCTGAAAAAGAAATTCCCACGTGATTACATAAAGAAGAGAAGAAAATAGAAGAACTCATACTAATCAATTTATTCAGAATAAGAAAATAGAAGAGTTGTTGTTTGTGTGTAAGAACCAATTAAAAGTGTTTATCACATTTTTCAGTAAGTCACTGATTACTGAAAGAAAAACTAATCATAAGAGCAAAGAAAGACATTTTGATGCTAGTAGTTTAGCTATGGATTTGGGTCAGTTATTGGGTTTGTTTTACTGTATTTAGTTGTATTTTTTCTCTGATTTTTGAGAATATGAGTTTGAGTTGGGGGTTAGTTTTATGGGTTTTGCTTGTTTCCTTGTAAGTGATCATACATACCTGTCAAAAGTGTCACTATTTATTGCTCGTGATGCATGTTTATATGCAAGTCAGCCTAAATAACACGGATAATTTTGTAGGTCAGAATACCACAAAACCCCATGTCTTACCCAATTTGCTTGTTTAGAACTTACCATTAAACGGTGGTTGTTTTTGAGGGCTGCTGGCTGCCAAATATCTTAGCTCTGACGTGTCAAACTTATTTTAGTTTGTTTTTACGCACTGCGTCAGAGTTTAAAACAAAACAAAACATAGCAACAGTATCTGTTTTACATGTGCATTACAATTTATAGTAGCTCTACAAAGATAAAACTGTCACATAGAGAAATGAATATTTTTGCTTTGCATTATTTATAATTAAAACAACTTCTCAAGACCTGGAAATACATGTATTTATTAATGCTGAAGCTTTTTGGCATCCAGTTTTGACCCCATGTCACATGTTTAACATCTGTGTCTTACATCTTTGGCAAACAGTTAACAGGTTGCTAAGGATGGCTAAGACAGCACATGAAAAACATATCTACGAGTCCCAAGCAGCCACATGAACCACTTCTTTAAAAAGATAATGTATTTATTATTATTTATTAATTTGACAACAAATGTGTCTTACTGCTTCCCCAGTAAGACTGACGTCTTGACTGCTCATGTAAGAGGTTGTTATCAGGCTGGAGCCAATCATCTACAACTATTTTTTCACACCAGTCATAGCCAG